TAGAAAAAGATCAGCTAACATTGTCACTAACACTGTAATACTAGCTCTGTAGTATTGTACAGAAAAATCACAGCCTTTTGTTGATATTTGGTAGAAGAAACAGTGTCTGCAGCCAGATACTTTGAATAAAAACAACAATAATACTACTAAATTCTATTTTATCAGTGGAATTCTATTTATTGATATTCAATATTTGTAAATGCTAGTTTTACAGATATTTTATATGCTACATTCTAGTTTTGTAGATCAGTGGCCTGTGGGTAAACTGCTGATACCCTGTGATAACTGATGTAAATAAACCTGTTTTTTCTTGAAAGGTCCCTGAATTTTTGTCTCCTATCCCTGCATTGATGCTTGCAATAGACCTTTGTGTAGTTACAAACTCATTCTGGCTAATGAAAAGGAGTCAGATTAAATACTGAGTAAAATATATGAAACATGAGAAAAAACAATAGACACAGCGAGGCGGGGGACAAACTCTGTTCGAACACCCATGCTGCACCTTGGAAATCAGTGGGATTACATGGGTCCTAAGAGCAGAATTTGGTCCAAAATTGTTCATGACCAAACATTTTACCATAATGCAACAGATCTGTCCCCTAGATCCTGTTCAACACCACAGAACCATGCATACATTTAGTTTGCCCATGGTGCAAGAGCCAAATTTGGCCCAATATTTGGTTCCAAATCCTATAAAGGCTCTATAGGCTTGATCCTGCACCATTAATCCAATGGAAAGTATATCATTGACTACAGCGGATTACCATTGACTTCAATGGGAGCATCAGCAAACCCCATATGCAGAACTCCTACCGAAGTCAATGGGAGTTCCACACACAGAAAGATAAAACAAATCAAACGAGAGAGTGTGTTTTGTTTTTGTTTTCCTTATATACTGCCTTTCATTTAACATTAGCCAAATCATACAGTCCTAATACAGGCAACACTTGTACAGGAGTTTTATTCTGAGTAAGAACTAGAAAACAGATCCTCTTTCTTTTTTGTTTTCCTTATTATGTATTGTGATAACATGCTTGAAATTCATAGAAGTTGTAGATGCTGAACTGTTTGGTTTCCATATACAATATATTTTAAATGGCAAACTGTTAATCAACACTGGACATACAACAGATAATGTCACCTTTACACATGCTGACTATTGCTTCTCTCCACAAGTAGTCCCAATGGATTTAATGGGATCCGCAGAATAATGTAGTATTCAGCATGAGTGAGGGTGGCAGGGTATTACACAAAGTGTCTATTGACAACTTTCACTATACATCACCCCATTATGCCCAAAGACTGAAAAAACCTGAGGGCACAAATTCATTCTTTTGCTACATCCCGGCAGCTTCATTTATTTCAAAGGAGTTCCATGAGTATAGCTGAGAGCAGAATATGATCATCTTTCTGCCCTACTGAAAATCTAAAGTAATGTCTTTGAAACCAACAGAACTACTCCGGATTTACACCAGTGTAACTGAGGGCAGAATCTGTCCCCAGAACACAGATGTTGGAGGAAAGTAAGCACAGAGAATACTGAATGTCACTATTGTTGTGTGTAGGAACTAGAATTTTAATATCTTTTGAATATATTGATATAAATCCTGCTTGCCTTACACACAATAAGTAAACTTTAAGGTAACTTTAATATGATTAATCAGGTGATTTGCTCCATTTTTGATGTCTGTAACACTACTTGGTATGTTATTTGTCCCTCTGTAATGGTTGGTCAGTAGTGGACATGAGCCTACTCTAGATACTCACGACTGGAGTTCCTTCTTAACTGAAGTAGTAGTCTTACTTTTAGCTTTGGAAGTTCTAGGTTCATTCCCCTGCCCATGAGGACAGTCATTACATTACTTTCATTTGTATCATTTGAATAATTGCTCTCCATACAGTATATAACACTGTATAATTTATGCCACTATGAGGCAACAAAACACAATGCACAGAAAAAAATTGCCTTTAGACACAGACCAGAGCAAGGATCGTGTGTGAGCTGCACCTGTGAGGCTTCATGCCTCAGATACACCCCTTTGAGGCACAATTCCATCTCTGTGTCAAGGGGTAGTAATTTGATGCTGATATATATCAACAGGAAATTACAGAACTTGCTCACCATCACTCATGCTGTTTCAGCTGTGCTGGCCAGAAAATTGTGGGAAAATGTTGCCCAGGCTCCACCCAGTCACCCCGCCATACCTGCTCGGCATCCACTTAAGGCTTGGCTTGGTTTGGTTCAAAACGCCCTGAATTCAGTGGAAAGACTCCCAGTGACTTCAATGAGCTTTGTATCAGGCCCTTTCTTCTGTGTGCTAGCTAGGTACATAGTTTGGACAGCTACACAAGAGTGTAAGAGGTGGGGTTCTTATCCATCTGTATGGCATGTAGTCCAAATCACAATATGACTTTAAAGTTCAAGACCACACAGTTTAAATCTTAGTCAGGGAGTCCCCACCATCCATTCACTTTGATTTCTCATTCATTTTCTGAGTTAACAGTGATCCATGTCACTACTGACAACTACATTGTGTTTTTTTAAATCAGTCCTGAAAAACCTGTTCTTTGGAATAAAGCACAGAATACAAAGCATATGCTTGTTTAATAAACCATCTTCCTTATGATGGAATAATAAGCATGTTTAGTTTTAAGAGTTAAAAATGTACCATAAAGAGATGTATTGGCGGGGCTGGGCAGAAGGAGATAAGGAGTCCCAGTTTATTTTTTGTTGTTGTGAAGGAATTATGTAACAAATGTATAGCCCCCTTCTTTTTCTCATCACAGGTTGTTTGTGAGCCAATCTTGATTTCTGCAAATGCATTCCTTATTTAGAAGTCATCACCAGATAGTTTCTGTGAACAAATTGCAATCCATTGTCTGTCTGTCCAGCGACAGACCCTGAGCTCCTTGGGGTAGGGACTTTTCCCTTTCTGAAAGGGCTTAACACATCACGAATGCTAAATAATTAATAACAACATTGGTTGCTATTTAAACTATTTGCAATTTATTTGTGCTGTGTGATTTATCACCTAAGTCACATGGTATGATTTCTACTTCCTAGTTGGATGGATAATGAATAGTGAACAGCACACTTCCAGTATGATTTTTTGGGGAAATTATCATTTGTGCCAAAATTCATAAAACTTTTGGGATTTATCCAAATGTCCACAAATAAACCACTACTAATGTGCAGTGAATGATAAATCCAAACTAATTGCAGCAAAGCAAATCTGCCACATTCATTCACAAAAATATTCATAATTCACTTTTTGTATTATTTAATCCGCTGTAGTGACACACACTAGGCCCCAAAGTCATGTGGTTACTCTGGATTTTACACTAGTGTAACTGAGATCAGAATCTGGTTCATAGGTTATAAGCTAATTTATCAGTTAAATTCACATCTACAACAGGATTATTTTTAAGTCTGACTTCTTAAATGTTACTATAAACTCAACTAGTATTCTATTCCTATTTAGAAGCACTGAGACACTAAAGTGACAGGAATCATATAAGTAGATAGTAGATAGACAAGGTGGGTGAGGTAATATCTTTGATTACACCAACTTCTGTTGGTAAAACAGACAAGCTTTGGAGCCCCACAGAGCTCTTCACAAGTAGCTTTTGTCTCTTAAACTAACTGAAGTTGTTCCAATCAAAGATATTACCTCACCCACCTTGTCTCTCTCCTATCCGGGGACCAACACTAGATTACAGATGAATGAGTTCTGGGCAAGTGATGATTCCTCTGGGCAAGCTGATGGATCTAGTTTTGAGTTAAAAACCAAAACCAGGAGACTGTACACACCATGACCAGGTAAGATCTAAACATCGTGTAAATAGCTGGGAGGCTGTTTGCACCCTCCTATCCAAAGGGGACTATCATTTCCTAAATTTTTAACTGTTGATCTCCCATTGTTTATGCCAGGTGCCAGCTTCAATTGGTTATGATTACAAAAAAAAATTTTTTAAATCAACAGATCCCTTGCTTTGAAGTGAAGAAAATCATTTTAACCAGTGATTTATTTGTGAAATCCTTAGTATGGAAGAAGTTACACAATGGTCTTGAAAGTAGAGACCAAAGCGAATAGCCTGTGGTAATATTTAAGCGAATGATAAAATACATCACTACAATATAGAGCTCGAAGGAAACATACTTCCTCGGGGCAGCGAAGTTATTGAACAATTAGATCTACAGAACAGTTTATGCTGAGCGTCGGGGGAGGAAGGGAAGAAATTTCACTTGCTGCTTCACTGCAAATAAACCAGTGGGCTCCCCATTGACCCCTATTTCTAATCCTCCCTTACCCCCAAAATAGAAAGTATAGAGGAATGAACCCAAACCAGCGGTGCACACTGTGTCTCCAGCTTGTGCAGGCAGGAGCTGGGGTGAGCAGCAGCCGGCACGAAGCACCATTACCTGCTCTGCTGTCCTGCGTGCCATCTGCCCACAACCCCGCCCACTCTTGCGAAAGAAGGAAAAGCCCAAGGGTCCCTATGGCCCCAGAAGGCACCTGTAGTACAAAGTACGACTCGGGAATGCCAGGTGCACAGGAATCTATAACCTCAAAGGTAAAGGGACCCTATAGCAGCCAGGGAGCCTAGTGCACCACGGAGCCTATAGAGCTCAGGATCTCTTATCACGCAGGGAGCCGCACCCAGGGACGCTATAGCACCAGAGGGAGCCTATAGAACTCAGGATCCCTCAGCACCCAAGGACTCTTCGAGCACCCAGGAACCCTATCGCACCAGAGAGAGCCTATAGAGCTCAGGACCCCTTAGCACCCAGGGACCCTATAGGACCAGAGAGAGCTTACAGAGCTCAGGATCCCTCAGCACCCAGGGACCCTGCAGCACCAGAGGGAGCCCACAGAGCTCAGGATCCCTCAGCACCCAGGGACCCCCACGAGCACGCCGGGATCCTGTGAGATCAGCGTCCCCGCAGCGCTCACGGGCGCTACGGCACCGACACGCACACGGCGGCCGCCGGGACTCACCGGGCTGGAAGCTGCGCCCCCTTCTCGCTCCGTCCTCTCTCCCTCTTCCTCCCCACGGTCCCCGGGCGAGGGAGGCGCGCCCCTCACCGCCCCGTCCGCGCCGCTCGGGGCTGGCTCAGCCTGCGCCGCGGAGGGCGCCCGGCGGGGAGAGACACGCACAGGCGCAGGGACCCGCCGTCCCCCAGCGCTGAAGCGGAGCCCGCGGGGGGAGAAGCGGAGAGTCGCCGAGCCTGAGCCGCCGCTGCTGTCCGCGGCCAGCCTGGTCCTGAAATGAGCCACCGCCCCCTCCCCCGGATCAGCCCTTGTAGCGTAAACCCGTGGCCATGGCAACCCGGCGTCACACAATTTAAGGTGGCGGGGACCTGCGCGTGCCAGGGCAGCCCCCGCTCGGCTGCCGCGCCCGGGCCCGCCCCCTGGCGCCGCCCAGCGCGAGCCCTCCGCCCGGCTCGGGCACCCCGCGCGCCCGCCTCTCGCGCCCCAGGGCGGGCTGCAGCGCTGAGCCCCTCAGCCCCCTCTCCCGAGCGCTGCCATGGCTAGCTCCGCGGGGTGGGGGCGGCTCTCGCGGGCACACTACGCGGCTGTTACTCCTGCAAGAACCTGAGTTCCCGCCTGTTGGGGGCTGGGGGGCCAGCGGCTGGCTCCTACCCAGAATAAACGGCCGCGGAACCGCTCCCCGCCCCCCCCCCCAGCCAAGTTCTCCTCCCCATAGTTATTCTCTCTCTCTCTCTCTCCTGCCTCTCTTAGCAGTGTTGGCTTTAGGGTGCAAAGGCTCCCGTGTGCCTTATGCATTCACATTGCCCCGTGTCAGGATCTGGCCCGAGGGAAAACCGACGAAGGCTTCAGGCGGACGCCGCTTGGAAAATAATGAATGAAACACATGAATCGCGCAGTCCTGCCTCCGCCCACACTTCCTTGTCAGGCAACGGGAGTAAAGGAGGGCTGCAGGAGTTACAGAGCTGTGTGACCCTCAGCGGGACACGGATATTGACCAGTTCATGGTATTAAATTTCTTAATGGGGAATGATTTGTAACTATTTAGCTGCTGTTCTGATCCAGAAAGGGTGCTGGGTTGATTGGAGAAAGCTGGGAATAGCAAAGACAAGTCTGCTTGGTGTGCTTGCTCATTTTAGCTAAAACCAGGACCCAGCACAGCTTCCAAAAAAGATCAGTAGAGAGATGAGAAAGGAACTTCAGACTGGGCAAGTTTTCATTTGACAGATCTTCCTGCATTGATAACCACAAAACTTTCTTAAGCCCCTATCTATCCTTAGCTAATGTATCTCTTATAAACTTAATTTTAAAATGCAAACATTTTTTTTCCTTGGCTGCTGCTGCTGAAATTCCTCACAGGGGGCAAAGGGCCATTTATAAGGCCTTTTCATAGAATCATAGACATGTAGGACTGGAAGGGACCTCAATAGGTCCTTTAGTCCATTACGCTAGTCATTGTACACACAAGAGACAATCCCTGTCCCAAAGAATTTACAATCTAAATAGACAAGATAGAGAGAGAGCCCGAGAAAGGCAATATCATTACCCCAGTTTTACAGTTGGGGGATTGAGGCCTAGAGAGACCCAGTGTCTTGACCAAACTCACACAGGAAATCTGTGTCAGAGTCAGGAGATGAACACAGGTATCCCAAGTCCCTGGGCAGTTACTTGGCCATAAGAGAATCCTTCCTCTCAGAGAGGTGATCTCCTGCATGGCCTCCCAAAATCTTGCACCCTATGTCCGAGCAGATCTTGCCCCACATTGGCTTTGCTGTAAGAGAGCCCCTCTATACATGCAGGATATGCCCCCTTTTGATGTAATATAAAATGTGACTTGTTTGGTTTCAGTTGCAAATGGCAGATTATAAAAATCAGTCTTCCAGCAGTGAGCTTTTACATTTTATTATCTTTGATCAATTACTTAAATTGACTGGAATCAAAGCTACACTGAATGAGGTTACAGTGTTTGTGATTTTTTTTAATCATCTGTATCTGTTATTGTAATATTAAATGTCTCAATTCTATTGTTGTGCATCTCCTTAGTTTGCTTGTTGAGCTATAGGCAACTAAAATGGCTAAGACTTATATCATGATTGATTTTGAAAAAAGGCAGATTTAGTGCTGCAGTAACTCATACCAATGGACATACTTGGGGAAAAGGTTTCAACAATATATTAAACCATATTTTATTATAACTACTTAAATAATATATTGGACTACTACGCATTGGTAGACACTTTATCCACTCTTTGGCTGGCTCTTGGGTATAGTACAGACTCATCATTTTCATCTTATATCTCAGGAGCTGTACAGTCCTTTGCAATGAAATCTGGCACACTTTTAACATAAAACCTCCAGATCAGCTGCTACTTTTTAGGGCCCTTAACAAACAAAATCAATATATCCTTCCCTTTCAAAAACAGTTTTGCTCATCCAGTGATAAGTGCTGTTGCAGTAAAACTGCATAATTGTCCAGGAATTTTAAAATATTTCTTGGGAATGGCCTTCTTTAAATCTTTAAGCTGTTGCAAATAAACAATAAGTACCTCTCATTACTTTATATTTTGCAGTTGTCCCCATGAAAACAAACTAAAATGAGATGTTTTATTGCTTCCAGATGCTCTTAAAACTGAAATTTAAAGCAATTCTTGGTTTTAACAGCTCTGTTTTCCAATAAATTGGCTCTGCAGTGGCTGGCCTGTTGAAGCCTGGCTGGAAGTTAAGTAGCCCTAAATAAACAAAACATTGGCACAGCAGTTATTCCACATGCCCCCTCTAACCAACCACCTAATCAGAAGGAAGCCTGTAGCTCTGCATAACCCAAATTATCTCCCATAGCAATCAAGTGATTAATCAGTCAGATTAATTAGTTAATGGTTTTCCTGCACTTTGAAAATAAGAAAGTGTTAAATAAGGACTAAATATTATTCACTTATGTATTTATTTATTATTTAAATATAATTAGGCAGGTGCCAGAAATGTCAGGTGGCTCAAAGGGAGGACTCCACTAAAGATACAGAGCTGGGCTTTCTCTGGATGACTGACAGGTCTAATTATGATGTCAGCCAGGCAGAGCTGTATATCTTGGCAATGTGCCTTTACCTCCTTAAGCATTGTAGAGGAGGTAAATATACAGCCCCACAGCTCATCCTTGATGTCACCATGAACGGACCTGTCAGGGGAGGTATTCAAAGGAATAGCAGCTATCCACATGTTTTAGAAACAATACAAACATGAGAGAGGGCATTAAATCACAGGGAACTATATCCACAGGATGAAATCCTGGCTCTACTGAAGTCACTGGCGTTTTGCCATTCACTTCACTGGAGCCAGGATTTCACCCATAATTGTTTTATGTTTGTTTTGGAAATGAGGATTCTAAAGACAAGCCCCCAAGCTTGAGTTCTCCACTGCAACAGTGTTTAGCACACCACTGCAGAATGGAGTTATGTAAAAGAAATGTCACTTTAAAATCTGGGTTTCTGTCCTCTCCCTTCACTCTGGCTCTGATTCAGGAAAGCACATGCTTAAGTCTATCCCAAACTAGCAAAACATTTAAGCACATGCTTAAAACTAAGCATGTGCTTAATTTCCATTGACTGAGTGGGACTACTTGTGGAGTAAGTTACTACTCACTGTGACTTAGAGTGCAAGAATCTAGCTCTGAATCTTTGTTGTTTATATCAATTATTATAACCTCAGCTTAGTCATCATTTGGCAAAGTGAAAAAGGATTGTTGATTTCTTGCTGAATAAAATTTTGGATGTTCAGCCAGTTTCCCACAGAAGCTTGAAATTATATCTTCAGACTGTTTTTATGAATACACAGCTCAAAGCCCATAATAATGTACCTGCACTGAGGATAATTTAATGTAGAGTAATATCTTTGTTGACATAAAAACACTTATGTTGTGCTAAACATCGTCCCTAGTTGCAAAGCTTTGGACACAGTCCAAGTTTCAAATTTTCCCACATTTTTTGAGGATTTAGATGTGGGAATTTTGTATTGTAGAGAGAAAAGGAGTACTTGTGGCACCTTAGAGACTAACCAATTTATTTGAGCATGAGCTTTCGTGAGCTACAGCTCACTTCATCGCTGTAGCTCACGAAAGCTCATGCTCAAATAAATTGGTTAGTCGCTAAGGTGCCACAAGTACTCCTTTTCTTTTTGCGAATACAGACTAACACGGCTGTTCCTCTGAAACCCGTATTGTAGAGAGAGGGCCGAAATGTAAAGGTCAGATCCTGATCTGAATTTCCATAGTGCTCAAGTGTGTTTAGCTCTTGGTTATATAACAGGCCTCTCTCTATATATTATGCATAACTACAGTGGAAGAAATTAGTTTATCTTGTTACCTTTTAAAAATTCCACCACTGAAATACATTTTACTTCAGAAGCTGCAAGATTCTATGTAATATGATGTATTCTCTGTTCAAAAAATTGTTGTAGGAGGAAATAAATCTATGACCTGACTGCTAAGTTAATACAAGAAAAAACAAATGCAGCTTCCAGATTGCAACTTTAGACATTCACTTTGCTGCTCCACAAAATGCTTCTAAACACAAATCAAAGAGCTGGTCCTTTCCAGACCACCACAATGATGTCACCAGATTCCACACAGTGCTGTCATCCCATTCTATGCTTTCCTTGTTGCTATAGCAGACCCTCTATTGCTGAGAGCCCTAAACTCAAATTCCAAAGGACAATTTTCACTTTCCTTTCCTGCTCAGTATCTGGGTATGTGTATATATGAGGCACTGTGTGATAATCGGCTCTCACTCAGTCAGAGTGAGTAGCAGGGGACCATTTAATGTGCACGTCTCTCTTAATGAGAGTGGAAGAAGTGCTCTCCCCTAGGTTTAGAGTTTCTACAACTCCTATTACCTGATTGGACTTCTGTAAAGTTTTGCTTTTCAGGATGAAGAGAAAAGGATGAGTTTTGCACATTCCCTTTTATGTTTGTTTGTTTTTTGTATGCACCTCAGGTAGAAAGGGGGAAGGGTTAGGGCTATCTTTCAGTTCATTTTAAATGTATGTGCTTTTAAAATTCAGGTTGGTTTTTCCGCTACTGCTGCTTAGAGCAATAGCAAGAATGAGAGTGGCATGATGAGAGATTAAAAAGACTGGGACTATTCAACTTGGAAAGAGCTGATGAAGGGGGATATGATAGAAGTCTATACAATCATGAATGGAGTAGAGAAAGTGAATAAGGAAGTGTAACAGTGTAAACAGCCCAGGAGAGGGCGGTGGCTGGGAGCAAGCAGTTCCCAGGCTGATTGGGGAAGCAGGTTCAGCTGTGGCCACACCC